GGGGGGGGTGACCCTTCCCCCACCAATCAATCAATCAAAAAAGACAAAAAAAATCGATGTGTTTTGAGTTGGGTAAGGTTTTTGATTTTTAAAAAATAATTTGAAGAGAGAGTCATGGAGTGTGCACAATCATTGCTCACGTGATGGGCGACAACACACTGCAAGAGAGAGAGAGAGAGAGAGAGAGAGAGAGAGAGAGAGAGAGAGAGAGAGAGAGAGAGAGAGAGAGAGAGAGAGAAAGAGAGAGAGAGAGATAATGAGGACCTCAAGTTGGGATGTATTCTCCACCAGGGGTCATCCTTCAGAGTCCAGCCTGCATTCCCGATTTGGCATGATGTTTTTGGACATTCATGGACAATGCCATCATGCCACACTTCGCAATCGTGAATGCACGGTGTAGATTTACAAGTCGCTGAGACAACCTCCAATGATGGGATGCACTGATGGCACGAACATTGCTGAAGAGAGAGAGAGAGAGAGAGAGAGAGAGAGAGAGAGAGAGAGAGAGAGAGAGAGAGAGAGAGAGAGTTTCGACGCACCTTCGATGTTGCTCTGTGAGGTCGATGCTGGCTGGTATAGCAGGGCTGTCGGAGCATGTTGGGTCGAAGGAACAACTTGCAGAATGACATCGCCATTTCACGTCACCAATTACCCGAGGCTGTCCCAACAGCTTACACCCCTGTGCAGCCTGACCGCGACCTCGAAAACCGACCGTCGGATGTGCGGATAGGGCAGAGCACAAGGTAGCCCAACTAGGGTAAACGCCGACCGGCCAGATGCATTGTTACCCCATGCACTGACAATGGCCCGTAGGGTACCCACATCCGACGTCGGCACGCCCGCGCATTGAAGCACTTACTGAAGTGTCGAGTAAGTGGAAAAGGCCAACAGTCCATCCTCCGTGCACCTATAAGCGTGTCGATTAGATTTGGCATGCTCAAGGGATCGGGACCGCCACCGGTGATGATTTTAGCAGAAGGCCCTTACGAAGGGAATCGTCGGGCCTGTTTTTTTTTAATCGGAAATTTGGGTTGGGTACCGTGGCCTTGTGCCCTCGACGCGTCGGATCAGTGGAACAGCGGGCCCATTTTGTCTTGCGTAGGATGATCGTTGAGGCCTATCCCGCAGTGGCCCCTGTGCGCCAAGCACGACTGCGGCCGGGTACATAAAACGAAACGCTCCCCCCCTAGCTCATTTCACATTTTCGTTTTTGTTGGGGAGATACTGCTGAACGCAATGCTCGCACTTGCTGTCCTCAACACCAATGCATGCAAATCGAGGTGACTATCTCGATTGCCATCGACACCTCCATTGTCATCCCCAACTCCATCGCTATCCCCCTCCCCGCATCTGCTATCCAAGCAAACACCGAGCACACATGCCCACTTATCGCTCACACAATATCACCTCGCATGCGCAATGTTCTCTACCTTTCTCTCTCACCACTTTCTGAATCCTTTCCTTGCCAGACACAAATCCCTTTCCTTTCGCCATTGTCTACAATCTCTTATCCACCAAGTCAACCTCGACGTCCATCCACGTCATCGTTTCTAAAATCCATCCATCGACGGCCACGTGCTCCTATCCGTCGCCCCCGTCCAACCAGAAAAAGGGAATCATCCATTGCGCTTTTCCTGTTCGATCGCCAAGCTTCTATATCGTCATCTAAAACTTTCACGCGGTAAGTGTCTTCAAAAAAGGGAGTGTCGGTCGCATGCTTCATTGAATCAACGATCCACGTGCATGTGCATATCCGTGATCGCGTGTGGATCTTTCTCCCACGCATGCGGATTTGTGAATGTGTGTGGATCTGTGAATGCAGATCGTTGAATGCATGCGATTTTATGTATCATGAATGCGTGGGGATCTTTGGAAGCGTGTGAATCTTCGAATGCGTGTAGAGCTTTCAATATTTGCGGATCTTCTCACGCATACAGATCTTTGCATTCGCGTGGATCTATCTTTCAAGCATAAGGATCTCACTCGATGAGCAACTAATGAGGTTGGATGAATGAATGTGTGTGGATGCAACGGTGCACACAACGATCCAGGGAGTGATTGGATGACCGATTGATTTGCGATCAGATCACAAGACCAAACACGAGTTTGAAGCCAGACCGCAATGTTTGTGCATTCGCCGTGATTTCTGTTTTGCCAACCGGGTGATTTCTTTGTCGTGCGGCAACAGATCTCCTTTTCCTTAAAAGGCAAATCAATGTGAATAAAAAAACAATCAATCAATCGTTTCTTCAGCCCGTGAATCAAGCGAGTAACAAATCAAGCAAACATCCGGACTCTCGTACGATCTGTTCAAGGAGCCTCAGGAAACCAGTGACTGAACGATCGCATGATCTATGCACGAATCAATAAATCGTTCAGCCAATGGTTGGAGTGCGACCCACAATGTTCGGACCACGGGCATGGCACTCAAACCACTGGACGCATGGATCTATTAATGCAATCAATCAATCATCCGGTGAATAAAGCGCGCAATAAATCAGATCTCCGACCGGACGTGTGTGCCACGAATGCATTTGGACGTTTCGATTAATCGCATCCAATCACACGGGGACACTAATGTTGAAATCTACATTCGATCCAACAATCAACTAATCACGCAAGCAAGCTATCAATCAAACACACCATTTGCCAGTCGGCTAGCAGCTCATTCGAAATGCTCAACTAATCAGGCAAGCAAACTTTCAATCAAACATCCCATTTTCGAGTCAGCAAGCAACTCATTCAATCGCACTTCGGTCAAACCTGATGGTGTGAGGCAGGAAAGCATACACCAGGTATCACCAGTCTTGGTCTGTCACGGATAGGGAGCCCCCCGCTTGTCGATGGGCAGCATCCACCATCGGACACCATCAAACTGCGTTCATCAACAAACTTCATTGTTCTTGAACAAACATTGGAGTTTGAGGCCGTCAAAAATTTGTTCGAGGCAATGACGAAGTTCGCCGTTATCCAGACTTCGCTTGTCGTCTTCAATGCGAAACCCGGATCCTAGTGAACTTGACGTAAGTGGCCCTCTCCCACCCCACTCCGTCCAACTCGATCAATCCGTGGGTATGGTGAACCCATTATCAGACTCCTGCCCCCCCACACCATGTGACGATCCTGATCACGAACATCAGTCTTGAAGTTCGAATCCCGACAGACTTGAACCGATTCCGACGAAATTCGTGAGGACCCCGGTTACCAGCCGAACTTGTGAAGTTCGGATTCTGGCGGACTTTAACAATCAAGTTGCTGTTCTCGGCAAGACATAAGTGCCACTGTAGCTATTATCACTCAACACTCTTGACCTCGAGATTTCAAGTTCGGATTCTAATGAACTTCCCAACTTACATGTGACATTTTTTTGCCGCAGGGACACCCGCACCCCAGGAACGGTACCACACGGCGTCTATTTGAGTCCGCCAGAACACGGAGTTTTTGAGAACTGTCTTCTAGAGAGTTTGTGAAGTTCGGATACTGGCGAACTTCGAGAATTCATCCTTCAGGTTGGAAAACCTCGTGCGAGTTGTAACATATAACCTAGGAGCAGCCCCGTCTGTAGAAACGGTGGCCGGACCTCAACAATCCGTGTATGTCTGGTGTAAAGTTCTCAATAGAATCTGTTCGACATTGGACTTTGGCAATCCGTCAAGTTTGGATTCCGGCGAACTTGAACAATTCTCTTCTCTTGTTCAAGCACTACAGTCGATGGGTTGGCTCAAGTTAACAGAGTTCGACCGAATCCGGCTCCCGGCGCACTTCCCTTTGTCTTCCAGCCTCTACAATGTTTGGGGTCCTATTTGTTGCGGGTGTTCTAGGTTAGCGAAGTTTGGATACCGACAGTGAACCACACATCCCTTCCTGAAAGGTTCGAAGTTCGGATTCCGGCGAACTTAAAATATTGTTTGTCCCGTCTCTTCTGGACACCAGGTCCCACCATTGCCGATGTAAACCAAGATCCGTACATAAGACACTGCAACAGCATGCTCGGGTTCCTTCACCGGAACAGGAGACCCTAGTCACCACAAACAATGGGTTAAGACACTAAGTTCGCCAGTATTTGAACTTCACATATTGGCGAGAAAGGATGACTGAAGAAGTCGGACAATGGCAGACTTGGATGAATCTCAGGTAAAAAAACTTCTACAATTGTCATTTTCCCCCAACATGCGAAATTCGGATGTCGACGAACTCCGTGAACTCACCTGTCTTCCGCCGTGACTGGGTCTTCCAGCTGCCGCATTGAATTTGTGAATACTAAAAGTTCGCCGGCATCAGAACTTCACATGGTGTCCAAATGGGGGGACTGAAGAAGTTCGCCAGTATCCGAACATGATAGACTATCCAAATCGACCGTCGAACTTCATTGATTGAGTAAACGGGGTGACCAGAAAAACGTTGAACACCCCCACGTCTTAACGGTCAGCTCCTCTGCCGCGAGAGAGAAAGTTTGCATATCAAGGAACCCTGCTCCTGCAGCAATCAAAGTTCGTCGGGATCTGAACTTCAAACAATGCGGGAAGGGTCGTGTGGTTCACTGTTAGTGTCGACTGGGCTCCGACCTTTCTAGAGCACGGGAGAGAACTCCAAGTAAAGTCTGAAAACCTGAGGACTTGGAGTTCCCTCCTGTGTTCTGCAAAGATTGTTGCCGTGTTGATAGCGACCGCGAGAGAGAAGGCTAACAACAGTCGTATTTTTCATCACCACTTTAAGACACCCTTCACCACTTCATGATGCAGCCTGCCTAAACAGGTGATTTTCAGGGTCTTCGGACCTTATCACCATGTAAGGACACCCTTCACCACTTCAGGATGCAGCCTGCCTAAACAAGTGGCTTTCAGGGTCCTCGGACCTTTCACCACTTCATGACCATTTTGGATTTTCAGACTACTTAAAACTCTCACTTCACCACTTCAAGATGCAGCCTGCCTAAACAGGTGGTTTTCGGGGTCTTCGGGCCTTTCACCACTTCAGGACCATTCGGGATTTTCAAACTCCCCAAAACTCTCACTTCAGAATTTTCATTCCTGAATTTTCATCTACCCGTTAACCGCTTGTGGACCGTGAGCCACGCAACCCTTCACGCAATGTTCCAAGTTCGGATCCAGGCGAATTTCAAGTATTGTCCGAGTTTTGTGATTGATGCCCTCGACAGGGATCGTCGCATCGAGGCCCCCACAAGGAAGAGTCGAAGGACGGGTGCACCCAGCGTAAATACTGTTTGCATTGTTCGGAGTGGGGTGTAAGAGGGCCTTCCTGTTCATCGAAATCCGGACTACACATACAAGGTCCGCATATTATGCTCTAACGTCGATAAAATGATAACATCGTGCGCGGTTCTGGATTCGTCAATACGGGTGAACGCTTTGGTGGAGCTTGGGTTGTGGCTTGTCGGTGGTCGAATTGTTGCTGCTGACATTTGCCCAATCCTGACCACGAGGTGGGTTGCTTCTATTTGGGGTTATCCTTTGTAGACACAATGTCTTCTTCGAGGGGTGAGGAGCAGCGTGTCGAGACCTCCGAGAGGGGGTCAGGGAAGGACTCCACACGGCGGTCGTCTACGACCGAGAAGTCGTGGTCGAACCACATGAGGTCCAAATGGTTCGTCGACTTGTGTTGTGTGGATGTTTTCAACTCCACTGCGCAGCCGTGTGGTCTTGTCATCTTCATCGAAGACAACAAGCGGTGTAGAGTGCTTGAGGTTGTCGTCAAGAGGAAGGACACGAAGCCGGAACGTCGACACTTCTTTATTAAAACTGTTTATGGTTCTAAGAGCAACGTCGTTGTCAGTTCGAAAGAGGTGATTTTGAAATTAGATTTGTTCGAGGGGTTCAGAGCGGGTGCTGTGAACGCCTCCTTCTATCGCGAGCTCGCGAAGGAAGAACATTTTGTTTTGGCTCGATATTTTTTTGACTGGTTGGATAAAAAGAACGCCGACCTCGACAATCCCTACGATGTTGGCCCCGACCAACAGTTGTCACTGCCCTTGCAGCTGTGCAGCGGGTGCGAATCCTGCGGGGCTTCGCCGGAGTGGGGGGATTTGAGATCTGGTTCACCTTCTAAGCTACATCGTGGCGAGGGCAGTGGTCGCTTTGACGATACCGTCGATGACGCGTTACCAAAGACGTCAAGTTCGTCGTTGAGGCAGAGAAACTGATCCGTGCTGTCTATTCCCGCGGTCCAGCAAGTCGCTCTGCCTCGAGAGCAGCTAGCGGCAGCTGAAGGGCATGTTGCGGTTGTTTCAGATGTCGGTGGCGACACTAGCGAGGGCTAGACTACAGAGGAGGAATCTGCGGGCGGGGGCGGCACACACGACACTCCACAAAAAAGAAGGGGAGGTCATCAAG